AATGATAATGTTAGTAAGGTAAACTATTAAAATCACGTTATAGATCATATGATTTACTAGTTACTGTAAAAATTTTTCAATTAATTTTCTTTGATATACATTATGAACTAGCTAAATAAGGATCTATATAAAAATGATTTGATCATAAGTGGTATAAACCAATTGAATAAACTAACCAATTACAATAAAAGTACAATCTTTAATAACACCATTGCATTCACTATAATTACGCAAATCCATATCCATATCTTCATCCAAAACCTCCAATTTGTATCATAAATTAGAAAGCATATTCTAAAACTCTACTTTTCTTTCATCACGATTATTATTCACAAAGTAGTCTTTTTTAATTTCGCTGAGTTTTTTTAATTCTCGTGAAAATTTGTTAAATAGTTTTTCTTGATCCATGATAATGTAAAAGAAAAAAAATTGAAAAGATTTTAGTGAGGGGAATGTGTAATTATTATAAATGTTGGAAGGAAGAAAAAGTAAGGATCACATCAATCAAATTCAGTCATTTAATAGCCTTTTTTTACAGTATTACTACTTTAGCAAAAATCTAGTAAAAATTTTAAATAAATACACTAAGGCAAGCTTTAGCTCTTAGAAATCTTAAGCACATTTTGCTATTCTAGGATTTAGATAAAGATAAGTATAATTACACAACTTAAAAATTTGTCAAATCCAACAAATGTATATAATACAAATGCATATATACAAGTTCTTTATTATGAATCACGACAGTAAAACATCATCACGTCCTGCAATGACAATTCCTAGAAACAATTTTATTCAAAAATTAATCTAGTGCTATCAATTAAATATGATTCTTCCTAGTTGTTAATAACAAATCCCTTATTGAAAGAGTAAATTAATAAGGAAAAATTTGAATTAACAAATATTTTTCCTCTTTGAGACGTTATATGAGCATTTCATCGATTTAAAAATATGGTGATGATGATTTGCTCAATGAGTATCATGAGGCAGGCTAAAGTGAGAGATGGTGGGTCAAGGATTGAAGTCATAGAATTGGTGACCGCAGAAATGTCGCTGTTGATATTTGGCAATTTATCAGATTTGGAAAAGGTTGAATCCAAATATCATGAATTAGCTTCAGTAGTTGATTATAATTAGGTAAAGTTATGCAGGCTACTCTAGTTAAGATCTTAAAGGATATGATAATGTTTATTTTGAAGAGCAAAATGTCTAAAATCTATTGTGGTCAACGTAATGCACTGGTGGGTGTATATATATATATATGTATAAGATAATTAGTATTAAAAATAAATTTCTAAATTATGTTAAGTTGACAAATGATTTTTTATCTGAAAAATGTATTGTTGGGGAGAATACCTCTGCAGCGTAAGCAAAATTCTGACATTATTATTATCATTATTTGCGATCATATTTTTCGAGATGTTATACATATTTGTATCTTTATTAAGGGGAAAATAAATAATAAAACAAATTCATTATATGTAATATTTACCTCTCCAATTAAAATTTTTTTACTAAAAAAGGAAGGAGGGGTTTAATAATTTGGGGCGTCCTTAACCTAGGGAGGGGGTATAGACCCTTATCGTCTAACCCCATGTATAAATAAATTTTTTAAAGTATATATCACGTGACATATACAGTTGCGGTTTAGACCCAATAATTTGAGGTGTCGGATCTGTGATCACGTGAGACACGAAACGTGATATATTGATCACGAATATTTTAAAATGTTCAGCGAGGTTTATATTATTTTGAGTGCTAGCAATTCCTTTGATAGTGATTTGTTATGACTGGAAAATCTTGACATGGTAATGAAATAACAGCTAATTTTTCATGATCTTTTTTTTCATATATTTCTTGAATTTCTAATTAAATAAATTTATTCATGCTAAAAGTCAAACGGACGATTATTATAACTTTAAGATTAATTTGTTTGATTTATTGCATTAAAGTTACTCCTCAAGAATTTTAGAATCTTGAACTAAAAGTGTTTAACTTGTAAAATCAGGTAATAAAGTATCGTAATAAATATTATATTAGAGTTTCCTCATCAACTGATTCTTGTGACTAACAGAAATTTCTTATGCAAATTCTTTATATGTTATATCAGCTTTTCAGAACCGTAATTATTGGTCTGATCAATTATCTTATTACAGGGTGCCATAGAAAATTTTCAATTGGTGCAGAAGTTCTCAAATTCAATGTTCCTCGTCGTCATTTCATCTTTGGTAAAGAATCCTTCAAGTAAATGATGATGGGTTTATATTCTATCACGTTGAAAAGGTTATACATTGCTAATTCTGCATCAAATATAACACTAGACATTTAAAGACTTAAAATTTGCAACTGAATTTGGATTTGGTATTAGATTGGCAATCCTTCATGGGTAGTAGATCTAGTGTCGACGTATTAAAAGCACTTCTATCATGGTTCCTGAACCTCTTTACGAACCATTATCAAAATGGCTTTATATAAGATCCTGCATATCTACCGGATCGTAATACATCTATTATACATGCATATCCAAGAAAATCTAAAATTATTCGAGAAATTCCTCCATGAGAAATTTTTAGACGATGGATTTTGGGGAGGTATTAAAGGTGGTGATGTGCTATATTCAGTTCGAGATTGCCCTACTATAGATACTGGTGTAATTATTAGACAAATGGAAGTACTGTAACTTCGAATGGTAAATAAAATAATTATATTTCCTTTATGCTGTTCTTTTATCATAGGGGTTATATGGCATCATTATTTACTAACGCATCATTATACATGGATGGAATTTGACTTTCTGATAAGGAAAAGTTAAAATTGCTTATGATCTAATTTAACGCGGTAAAATTCTGGAAATATCAATATCTTCATTGACTGAAACATGAATTTGATTACGTAGAGGAAGGCTTCTCGGAGAGATTGGCTATTTGATGGCTAATAGAACAATTTTTTTTTTTCATTTGTTTTGAAAATTTATGATTTAATTCTAATTAATAATTGTCAATTGTTATCTAGTAATGTTATCATTCCGATACCTTTACTACGAAATGCTTTTTGATATTTAAACAAGCGATGACTGTAACCGTCTTTAGCATCTTGTACCAAATACCAAAATTATAAATGTGTATGGAACAAAACCGATAGTTCTGATTTTGTTTCTTCATCATTTCTTTATGTGGTATTAGTAAAATTAGTTATAGCTTGTGGATTGGCTGAGACTTAAGATTATATTAGAGGGGTTAAGTTTTCATGCGAAAAATGTAGATCAATCCATGTAGGAGAAAAGCATTTAGCGTAGTTGAGTAAGGAAGGATTGGTTTAGCAATAAGATTCATGACACAGTTCCTAGTGATTTATGCCAGACTGAAATGGGTATAATAATATTTCAATTATACATAAGGATTCACGTGATTTGTGGTCCACAAAAAAATTTCTAAAGTTTTAATGTAATTAAGTTATTTTTATTAAAAATTTAATAAAATAACGGTCAAAGAAAAGTACTGTAATAGGCGAGTCAAAAAAAAAAAAAATAAGTTTTATTGCAGGTTTTAAATATATCATAAATTGATTGTTACATTTCTAAAAAAAGTTATTATAAAAAAAAAATCCCGAAATGGTTGTTGATGATGGGTGGTAAGGTTGATGGTGGTGAAGTTGATGAGTTGATGACGGTAGAGGTAATGTTGATGATATGATGAAGTTGATGTATTTTTGTTGATTAATTTGTAGATAAATAAAACGATTAAGGAACTACCTTATAATCGTATAAATGTATTTCCTTCCTAAATGAATCAAGTTTTCTAAGCTCATTCCTATTATGTTTCCTAATATGTCCAAATGTTCCAACTTTGTCCCGTAAAAACCTACACCAAAATGTAAAATAAACATTATCTTATTATTCTACCCCCAAAAAACTTGGATAATTAATTAATCAAGCTGGTCAAGTTTGGCGATGCTGAAATATTTTAACGCTTTTGACGCACCAAAATTCACGCATTCGAAATCTTAATATCTGATTTGATGTTTTTCCTTCCTTTTTCCCAAAATCTATAAAACCATAAAATAAGGCAACTCAACCGACTGCTTTCCAAAAAGCTTGAGACCGTAAAGGTTGCCTCTTCCCAAGCGAATGACCAAAAACTGAACAATAGGTACAGTTTATGAAATTGAATGTTAATTTTTTTTTTAGACAATCTAATTTTCTTGTTCTTTTAGACAGAACAATTTTCTTGTTCTTTAGATAGAACTAAATTTTCTTGTTCTTTTAGATAATCTATTGTACTTTTTAGAAAGACCATTTTTTTGAACTTTTAGACGGATTAAATTTTCTTGTTCTTTTAGACAGTCTAATTTTCTTGTTCTTTGACAGAATAAGAGAAAATTACAATTTTTTCTTCTCGTTCGGTTAGAATAGCTAAACTATTGCCTATTTATACATTTTAAAAAGGTAAATAATTGTTACTATTCTAAAATTTCCTATCCGTTATTTTAATTGCATAAAATTCCGGTTCCTGTCATGCTGGTCTTATTCCTGCCTGTTTTTTTCTGAAAACTACACAAGTTTCCTTGCTTCTACAGTATCCATAATACTTTTAGTATCCTGATACTAAGATCTGTTCTTTCATAAAATTCCAAATCTACTTCATTATACTTCTTATCCTTTACTGCCTGATTAATGTAACAACTTTCACCTCTTGACTTGTAAAGTATTTTGCTATCGTTTCTTTTACAAGTTTCACATTTGCCATTAAAATTCGTCTGATTTTTCGTAAAATAAAATTCTTTTTGGTCCCTTTCAAATCTCATAATATATCGAATTTCCGTAATTTTGTCTGCCAATTGTACTGCCTGTTTTGTTTGATCATGTGCTTGTTTCTGCTGATTCCAAATCGTTTCTTCACATTCGATACAATAATCTCTTTGGTCTCGTGCTTTTGGTATTAAACATTCTCTACATAGGTCTACTCCTGCTCATAAAAGTCGTTCATTTACATGTTGTTCTGTGATCATTTCGGTTTATCATTATCCATCCATTCTTCTTTTAATTCCTGCTCGTCAAATATCTCTCGTTCCGTGACTGTTCCTAGTCGGTATTGTACTCCTTGTGTTTCTTGTGCGTCTGCCTGTTCGTATCTTAATTTTAAATCCTTGAATAATTCTAATTCTTTCAATATCCATCTTTTGATATCCCCATATTCATCATCAAATGAATAAATTTTGCCTCGTACTTTTGCTTCGATTTCGTTTACTGCCTGTATGTAATCCTGGAATATCTTTCCTTTCTTCTCTTATGTGTCCTACTGCTGCCACACTTACTTTTGAACAATATCTTTTAAGCATGCATAGGCTGCTTCTGTCCTAGTTTCCTTATTTCTAATCTGTCTTGCCTCTTCTGACTGATGATTGTCTACATATTCCTCTCTTTTCTTCCCATTTTCTGCCCGTTCCATAGAATAAAGCATTTTCATTATTTCCTGATCTATTTTCCTTTGATAATTTACGTATCCTTCTACATATTCGTATTTAGTGTATTGATTGAATCGTTTTTCGTCGATTCGTCTAATCGTTTCCTCATTTCTTTTCTCGACTTTGTTCGATACTTTCTTCTAATCTTTCGTATGTCTGTATTTTTCTTTTTTAAAGTTCTTCCTTGGTATTGTCTATTTTTCTTGTTCTTTAGGAAAGTTGTCGGTCCTATATATACAGACTAAGTGAAAATTAACACTTTTTTTAAAAAAAAATAATTGCCTTATAAATAATACTAAAATCGGTAATTTAGAAAGACTTTCATGTGATTGGCCGATCAGGTTACACGAATTTTATAATAAATTTATTTTTTTTGAAAAATTAAACTGCCCCAGAATATCAAGTTTATTATTATTATAATAAAATAAAAATAAAATATTTACAACAAATTCAATAATAGAAATCTATAATAAGAAACGTAAAAAAAAAAAAATACTATCACATGATAAAAGTTTCTTGTGATTTGCAACATTCATTCCTTCTCGTCAATTCATATTTTCTTACGTTTACGTGTTTTATCTTGATATTGCGATTTTAAATTTTTTTTCGAAATATTGATTTCGTCAATTGACGGTTTTTCTATTTCAGGTTCCTCTATTTCAGGTTCCATGATTTCTTGAGTAGGTTCCTGAGACTTCGCAGCTTGTTTTTTTCTGAAACCTTCAAACGT